TCCACAATAGCAGCCATTTTTGGCATTGAGGAAGGCCTTATTGTCCTAAAGTATTGTTATAAGATTGTGTCTTTAGAGCTAGGAATGTGGCTTAGTGGTAGAGTACTTGCCTAGCATGCATGAAGCCCTAGGTTTGATTCCTCAGTACCACATACACAGAAAAAGCTGGAAGTGGCGCTGTGGCTCAAGTGGTAGAGTGTTAGTCTTGAGCAAAAGAAGCTCAGGGACAGTGCCCAGGTCCTGAGTTCAAACCCCATAACCCACACAAAAAAAAGATTGTTTCTTTATTTATCTGGCAGGAAATTCATTGAGAACTCACCAAGCTACCTTTAAAAAGACTTAGAAACTGTTAAATTCTGTATTCATTTAAAATAGCTTGGCTAAAGTAACAGAGCACCTGCCTAGCAAGTGTGAGGTCCTAAATTTAAACTCCAGTATACCGTCCCCCCCACCAAAAAAAAGATTGGATGGGGTAATGATACTGATCAGGGAAATGCCCTTAAGTTCCTTTTTTTCAAATGGTTACTCATTTTATATGAGAAAGAAAGGCAAACCCCAGACCCTTACTAATTTCACACAAAATTTTTTATTTATTTACTGTTGAGATAGGTATCTCCAGACCAGACTGATCTTGAACTGGAGATCTTCCTTACTCAGGTTCCCAAATACTGGGGACCACAGGTAGACTGCCATGCCTTGTTTTACAGGCTTTTTAAAATGAAGTATTTAAAGTACATTATTAAGTATATCTTTCACATTAGCAAAACTAAACAGTGAGTGAGCGAGTGTGTGTGTGTGCCTGCCTGCCAGTCCTGGGGCTTGAATTGAGGGCCTGAGCACTGTCCTTGAGCTTCTTTTGCTGAAGACTAGCACTCTACCACTTGAGCCACACCACTGCTTTTGGCTTTTTCTGTTTATGGTACTGAGGAATCAAACCCAGGGCTTCATGCATGCTAGGTAAGCACTCTACCACTAAGTCACATTCCAGCCAACAGCAAGTATTTTAAAATAAATTGTACCCATTTTCAAGAATAATGATTATAAAGACAAAAGAATCGGACACATGTGAAGTTAAGGGACATTTTATTTACTGACAGGATTAAAAACTTGTAACTCCAGGCAGTGCAAATGTACCACTGACCCCATAACAAAGAACTGGTGTTGATACACAATGTTTAAGCAATGCTACACTTATTTTTGGCAAAGTGCTGTATTGTTCACTCTGTATAAAACTTACCTAAACCAATAAGTATAAAATTTTTTCTAAAAACAGAAAAAAATTATAGACAGTGGCTCAAGAAAACAAGCTGCCATTTATGCATAGATTGATGTACAGTATATAACCTAACCAAATGTCCCTTTTGAGTTTTCAAGTTGATGAAAAAATTGTGTCCAGAAACACATTAAGAAGGCACATAGTACATCTACAATACTCTTCTGTTACCATAACATATACCTTGCCCTTGAAAAGGAAATGTGTTCACAATTTTACTTAAGGAAAAAAATAAAGCCACTTCTTAACACAATTATTGATTAAAGTTAAAACCTCTGGAAGAAAACACAACCAGAAAGGAAACAAAACCACTGACACACTGAGGCCTGAAAATACAAACATCTAACCATCCCAAATACTGGTTTGGTTTTTACACAAGTCCACCTACAAAACAAATACTAAAACTTCAGGCAAACACAAGCAAAACTGGGCGACAACTATAAACATTTTTAAATGTCACAAAGAAAATTCTCAATGATACACAGAACATTATCCACTTAAGCTGCCTTCTTCAGAATAGTAACTTCTCCCACATAAAGCATACTGTTGCAAAAAGAAGATACTCTTATCTGTACGCTTTCTGGTGCCTTCCTCCACCTAAACCAGTAAACTGGTGGCAAATTTCAAGTGAAATCGGTACATGGCAAGGCCAAAACCATTTTATTATATAGACTTCTCTAAGTAAAGCATTTATATAAACGTAAGCATTAAAATAAGTAGGTAGGGATGTTATTTATAATACACTGCATGGCTGATGTCAGTGAAACCATCTATAAGTCCAACTTTAAGAGTGAGACATGTTTATAGATCTTAGAAGAGAAAAGCTCACTTCAGGGGAGTATTATGAACATATACTAGTATCTCCCAGTAAAAGGAGCAGTCTTTTAACTAATTCAAAAGCAAAACTAATGGTTGGAACCTTTTCCTACTAATGTATTAAATTTAAATGTCTTGTCTTCTAGTTGGAGTCCTTCATTTTTCTGTATTGTTTCCAACTCAAAGAAAAAGAGGATAATGAAGATACATACCCTTCCTTGCCCTTTTTTTCTTAAGAGTATATAAAGGCAATATTTTTACTTAAGAAGGAAGAAAAATAGTAAAGAAATTCATATTTTAACACAAAGATTACAAACCAGTGTACTGTACAGAGTTCAAAAGCAAAATCAATAGGCGTTGCTGAACGGCCCTCCCAAGTTTTAAGTAAACTATCTTCTGGCTAGCAATAAAGAATTGAAAACAGAAAGGGTGTGTAAACAGGAACAGTTTGTATGGGAACTGGAAAAATACACAGGAAATTTATGTTTTAGAAAAAGTTCCCTGCATAGAAAGTCAAAAATCAAATTATTCTGGGTCTTTTGTAACCCCCTCCTCCAGCCATACAAATGCATTGCTACAAATGATAAATAATGGATGGCTAAATTTCAGATTACAGTGCAGAACAAGATCAATGAGCTGAGGAAGAAAAAGTAATAAGCATGGGTCATACATTATAAAATGTTTAACAAAAATCTAAAACTCTGAGCAATGTGGTGAACTGCAAAAGCTTAGGAGCTCATTTATGAAGTGCTGCTTATGCACACTATATTTTCTAGACTTTTTCCAAGTAACAGTCCATGTCATTTTAGGAAAAAAGAGTGCTACTAAATTTCAAAGGGAGCTTATTTCTTACTGGTTGAATTTTTATGTAATATGCACTGCAAAGCACATTGTAAACCACTGATACTTAAAATAATAAAAATAGTCAACTCACAAAATGCATTTTGGCCATCTTCCAGGAAATAGGAAACAGGTCAGCATTTTTTTAGTTATTATTGTCTTACAGTAGATTCCTAACAAATATCTAATGATCAAAAACTTCAACTGAATTATGTAACCATTTTCTTCAATTCTTATATGTGCCAGTTTTAAACAGAAACTTTAGTAATGACACAGACACCACAGTGTGTCAACACAGGTGGTATGGTAATCTCATTCCTGAAAAAAAAAAATCCCTATGATTGAATTTTTTTGTTTTCTAGAAACAAAGCATAAAAAAAAACTAGGCCTAGGTAATGCAAACAAAAAGTCAATAACTGATAGAGATGTAAATGTGTTTAAGCTACCAAGAAGCCTGAAAAATAGTAGTTAAAAAAACCCATAAAGAAAAAACATTTTATATACTTTTATATACAAATCTATTCTCATGGCTGAACCTCTAACTTATAAGGTTACCAGCAACTTGCAAGTGATGTAAGAAAGAGGCCCCCTGTACTCAGAGGCTTAATCTAAACCACATTTCACTGGTCTATTGTCAAGTTACCAACATATGGCCCTAGAACAGGCATGGTATAAAACATACACACCTTCATGAAAACTACCTTATCTCCCAACTCTGGTAAACACAAATAACAATAACTTTGACAAAACCTTAGAGTTGGCCCCTAATAGGAAAACAAATAAATAAAAGGGAAAGTCTATATGGAAGCAGAGGATAAGGAAAGAAAAGGGATCTAGATACTTGTTCTAAAGGGACATCCTGGCACTTCATTATAGCCAGTGGAAGAACAACCACCATCTAACTACACACTTGACCTCTTCCAACTCTATAAATGCCCTAGTCTAGTCAGAAAAGAGCACAGCTCATTCCTGAAAATCTGCCAGGGCTCCCTGTATCAAGCTGCTGCAGGTACTGAAAAATATAATACTTCACACAACTACCTGCTAACTTTTTTCTTGAAAACATTTTTTCATAGACATGTGCTCATTGAGTTTGGAATATAGAGGACATGAGGACATAAAGTGTATGATTATGCAGGCATGGCTACTGTTCTGTCAGTAGAATGTACTCTGAACTGTAAATGTGGTTAGTTTCCAAGGATACTGAGTAGGGATGGCTCAGCAAACCCATCACAACTGCCAAAAAATGAAGTGAGTGGCTAGAGAGGTAAGAGCATAGATTTCCCTCTGTGTCTAATTAACTGGCCTACATGAGAGTTGAACCCTGCACCCTGGCCTCATTAGCACCAACACTGAAGAACAATTGGGGCACAAAAGCTGCCCCACCCCCTCCTCCCCAACTAGATTCAGTAGAAAGGCCTTTGGAAGATGATGCAAGGTTCAGTTCTGGTTAGCCATTTCCAATCAGTATACAATCCTCACAAATGGGAGGGAGGTGAATGTAATTACACCCCTGTTCTGGAGGAAACAGGGGCCAAAGTGGTTAAAAGATTTTGCCTGAAATTAAAACAAAATGAAAACTCAAGAAAACCAATCTGTTACTTCACTTAGGTACAATGAATAGATATAACCAGAAATCCCCCCTCCCACCCTTACTTATCCCCTTGGCAAGACAGAGTATTTTTCACTGTTTTTATCTCTTTTCTTCTGGGTGGACAAATATAAAGACACTCCAAAGTGCCTGGATAAATACTTCTGAATTTACAGGTGATATGAAATGGGTAGTAAGTGGAGCTGGCAGGAAAGAATCCAGAAAATGCTGGACTTACATAGATTTTACTTACATGTTACTTACATAGATTTTTTTTCTATGTTACTTACATAGATTTTTTTCCCAATGTAATTTCACAGGTCTAATTTCTTCCCTTGGCATGAGACAAGTGCTTTTAACCATACACCTGTAGTACCACATCACAGAGTCACCTCAGATTTACTGAATGCACTATTCACTATAAAATGTACCTGAATTACACAATGAACTGTTAAGACTAATCTGGAAAAAAATTATACATACAAAAATATATCAAGTTTTATTTCAAAGGCAAGTCCAGCCATAATTCCATTATATCCAATGGCAACTATCACCTGTTAATGCTCATGTTAGTGTGTAAAAATGTACTCGTTATATACAGAAAAGATTATCAAGTACTGGTCAATAAAGTGTATGGCTGACCCTGAGAATAAATTTTTGCTTACTCAAAAGATTGATTAAGTAATACAAAATAAAGTGAAACTGAAAGATGCCTAGTCTTGTACTTGGGGAAGATATGTCTTGAATATTCTGATTAACTCATGTACACCTTAATAGAGTTAAAGACATCCCCAAACACTGCAACTGTACTGATATGTTTCCAAAAATATTCTGCAAAAAATCTACAAAGAAGTAAATGTTAGGAGCAAGGCATTATGTGATACACAGTGTAGAAATCTGATTTTTAAGATAGTGTATAACACACTGACAAACTATGTGATTGGTCATCAACTGGCTGTTAAAAGACAGCATTTTCATTGTACATACACATACAGTCACAAATATATGCACAAACGAAATGAAACCAACTAGCAAAACTTGAAATCCTTAGTAATTGTACTGACGTGGGCAGGGCTGATGAACCACCCAGCCATTGTGCTTGACTTGCCGAGAGTAGCAATCCCTGGTAAGATTTTGGCGACGAAGGCTATTTCTGTTTAGAGACTGTCTTTCACTATGTTCTTTTATCCACTGGGAAGGGCGAAAGCTCTTGGGTTGTTCTAGAAAAGTTGCATGAGCAGCAAGAGCTGTAACATAGCAGTGAAGGTGCTGCCCCATTTCACTTTGGGTTTCTACTCTGAAACAGAAAAGAACAAAGTGTTAAAGAACAAAGTATATTATGAAACTTAGATGTTACTTAGCAATTCATTTGCAATGCTCATTTGTTTATTGTTGGATGGGAGCTTAGTATCTCATGACTGACCGACAAATCTATATTTTGTGACAATGGTATCAGTGCAGAGGAAAAACCAGTCTGTGTGTGTGTGTGTGTGTGTGTGTGTGTGTGTGTGTGTGTGTGTCAGAGAGATTGGGGGGAAGAGGGAAAGAGAGGGGGAGAGAGAGAGAAAGGGAGAGAGAGAATATGTCATGCTATGTAGCTCATACTGGCCTCAAACTGGTGACCCTCTTTCTAGCCTGAGTGCTGGCATTACAGGTATGCACCACCACACCCAGCTGAGAAGCCAACTTTTAGTAGAAACATGTCATATAGTCCACATATAGCTAAGTAGACTGTATGCTAATATATAATATGCTTTAAACTTAAGAGTGAATTTAAGAAAGCTTTTCTGGGAGGGAACTAACATCAATTGGACATCAGTATTTTGCCAACTGTTTTGCAAATACCTATTTTCGTTCTCATCATCTTAAAAGGAAAATATTTTCATTTCAAATTTTACTGATCACAAAGCATTGCACCAATAGCATCTTCACAGATGAATTCCAAAAGTAAAATGTTCTAGGAAACATGTTTTAAATCTGCATTTCATAGAAATACTATGTAAGGAAAATTCTCTGCTTCTCTGCTTATTTTAGAAGACAACTCTTATGTTTTTACTTATATCACAACAAAGCACATTTTGGAATGGCACTTGTACAATTTGCACAATTGTACAAAAAAAAACCCTTAAGGAACATGTAATCTTAAAACATGGCTACAGATGCAAGATTACTGTTTGTTCTCTATATTAAATAACTAGTAGGGTTGATCTAAGCTATCTTAACACATAACATAAAGAGCACTAAGATTTTTGTTTCAGTGCTGGACAGGTGTTCTACCATTGATCTACATTCACAGCCCAAGTTTTAAGACTTAGGTGTTACGTACACTAGACTGGCAGTTAACGTGTGTGTGTGTTGGTCCTAGGGCTAGAACTCGTGTGTGTGTGTTGGTCCTAGGGCTAGAACTCGTGTGTGTGTGTGTGTGTGTGTGTGTGTGTGTGTGTGTGTGTGTGTGTGTGTGTGTGTGTGTTAGTCCTAGGGCTAGAACTCAGGGAGGGCCTGGGCATTGTGTGTAAACTTTTTAGCTCAAGGCTAGTGTTCTATCACTTGAACCACAGCTCCATTTCTGTTTTTCTGGTGCTTAATTGAAGACACAAGTGTCACAGAATTTGCTGCCTGGGCTGGCTTTGAACCTTGATCCTTAGATCTCAGCCTCCAGAATAGCTATGATTATAGGTGTGAGCCACCAGTGCCCAGTTTATGTATTTTCGTATTCTGTCTGAAATCATTTGAAAATACTATTATATCATTCTTTACAATCTATCCTATCCATCTACCTATTTGAAATTAATGGAGAGCTGGGAGTACAGTTCCGTGAGCATATGCCTAGCATGCCCAAATCCCTTGGTTCAGTCTCTACCATCTCCAAAAATAACAACAAAAAGAGCAAAGAAAGAAATAGAGCTGAATGCTGGTGGCTCACTCCTTTGATCCTAGTTATTCAGGAGGCTGAGATCTGAGGATCGTGGTTCAAAGGCAGACCGGGCAGGAATGTCCATCAGACTCTTCAGTTAACCACCAGAAAACACAGAAGTGGCACCGTGGCTCAAGTGGTAGAGCACTCACTCGCCTTGATCTGAGTGCCCAGGCCCAGAGTTCAAGCCCCACGCCCAACAAAAAGAAAGGAAGGAAGGAAGAAATAGAAAGGAGTTAGTATGAAGATGTTTTTAAAGCCTGCCATCTGAGTCCCTAGCCTCCCTTCACAAACTAATAACATAGATCACACAGTCTCAAAGTGGATATACTTACTCTGTGCCCGTGAGTCTTATAAGCAGGTTTTTCTGGCCCTACAAATGTTAAACGGTGAACTATTAAATTACTAGTAAGATTTAAAAAGCTATTTTAATTTTACTGTTAGGATGTGGGTCAACTTCATTAAAACTGATTTGCTATGGGTCATTAATGACACATGTTACTTAAGATTATGACAGCTCATAAACTCACAAATATTTATAAATATTTATAAATGCTAAAATGCAATAAATGCCATATGAAGCCCATTCCAATTATGAAGCATCTTACTTTTATAGGGCTTATTATAGTATACCTGAGGTTAGATAGAATGGAAGCAATATAACTGTTGAAAGACATGTTTTATTGCTTGTTCAGAAAACAGATGTTTACTATGTAACTAGCCTCCTAATTTGGTAACACCTGATTCATGTGTGTATATTATTAGAGATTAAACCCAGAGTCTCATGTATGTTACGAAAGGGCTCTATTACTGAGCTATATTCTCAGCACTTTCTTGTTTTTACTAAGACAGGTTATAGCTAAGTTGCCATTTATTTTGAGATAGAGTCTCTTGATACTGTTTATGCTGGCCTCAAAACTTTCAACCTTTCTGTCTCAGCTTTACCAGTACTCGGGTTATAGTTGAGTGCCATCATACTCAGTTCTAGTAAGAAAACTCTTGAGTTTTCAAACCCAAAAATAAAGATGTTAAAAAAACTCTTTGATTACTATTATAAATCTACAATAATTAGCATTGTCCTATGTACTGAAATAATTCAAAAAGTTACATGTATTATTTTGATGATTTATATATGGAAAAATACCTATTGTTTAACTCTCATATAGGTGATATTTACAATAAATGAATGCAAAAACAAACTAGATACAAAATATGTCTTCCTCCATCCCCTTCACTGGAGTTTGAATTCAGGGCTTTGCCCTTGCTAAGTAGGTGTTTTATCACTTGAGCCACATCTCCAGCCCTTTTTGCTTTTATTTTTCTAATAAGGTATCATTTTTAGTCCAGGCCAGCTTAGATCATAATCCTATTTACACTTCTCACATATCTAGGATGACAGGTGCACACTACCATGTGCAGCTTTTTATTGGAAATAGGATCTTTCCAACTTTTTGCTTGGGTAAAACTTCAATCCTTCTGATCACAGTCCTGACTTCAACCAGCCAAGACAGTTTTACACTGCATCACATTACAAAAAAATACAGCTAAATGCAGTTCACAGTCCTAGATTGGATGTGCTGGCTTGATTAAATATTCTAGACTGTCTTAGGACTGAGTATGATTTGGGTAGTAAATATTTGTTGAAGCAAAACGGTGGGTGATCATTGCCCAAGCAAGCAAATTATAAAACAGCACCTACAGCATGATTCCATTTGCATCAAAATTGTGTTAGTGTGTGTGTGTGTGTAGACATACAGAAAACAAAAATAATCTGGAAGATATTAGGATTCATCTCTAGGTCATCTCAAAGTTTTAAAGTTTACATATTTATACTTTCTGCAATGTATGTGAAGTGTTTCTATGCTAATACATTATTTTACAATGCAGCTAGTTATACCTATACATGTAAACACTGTAAAGTAAATATGCAAATACCTTTAAGCTTAAAGTGACCACTGATCATGCTAAATTCTTGAGTGGATTCCTCAGATTCAGGAGGGAAGATTTAAGATTATTTAAAGTAAATATAAAATAAATCAATGCCAACTCCGAAATATAATATTCTACTTGAGCTCTTGGCAAAATTATGGAGTTGAATAAAGTGCCATTCTCTATCACATATCTTATCCAGTGTATATATAGTATCAGATAACTATATATGAGCATATTTTAGTAAAATATGCTTAGTTTTGTAAAAGATCACTTACAATATTCAAACTTGAGTGTATGGCAAACTGGTTAAGTGAAAGAGCTGCCTGGCCTTTGTGTATATTTGGCAAATAGGAAATAGAAGCTGTGCATGGTCTACTTAGTGGAGTCAGATCCTGCACAATCTAAAAAGAACCCTTTGAATGACAGTAGGAATATTTGAACTGCTCCAAAGGATCCAATCCATTCAGGCCCTTGACCTAAAAGAGGGAATGAATCAGTGCCAATACTCATGTAGTGTTTTAACAGAGCATTTCTCTTAAGTGCATGGTGGACTAACTGGTTTCTAAGCTAATTAAGATGATTTTGAGACTTAATTTTAGTAGACAGGTGAAATCTCATATGTTTTCCCTGGATACATTCTCTTGTTAAAGGTCACAGAATGTAATTTTGACTGGAACACATCAGTCACTGACTAGTAACTTTTCCTGAATTTACCAGGTTCTCTACCCATTTGCTGTTGAAACTAGTTAGCTTCCTAGCTGCTGTGATTACACACATAGGCCACTACCCCCACTCCTGGACAGATTTTTTTATACTATTGATCACCTATGTACATGCTTTTGTAAATCTCTAACAAAATTATTTTTCCATCTTCCAAAACTTTAGTTGTGAACTGTAGTAGAAATAAACAAACATGCTTAACTAAATATTGTCTATGGAGAGAGTAAAATACTGTTCATATACCTGGGACTACTTGTGTTCTGAAATTCATCAGTCCCACAGCTGGCCTCACTGAGACCAGGGCAGGAGTTATGCACAGCATAGACAGACATGCTGGGATGTTCAATGAGAAGGTTTTCCATAGGACTCGTTTCCACCTTGATAGTGGTTAATCCACCTGCAGTAAAACATGGGGGAGGGGTGATAAACCAGCTCTCCTCCATTGGACAGGACTCAAACTGGAGGAAGCAGGAATCACTCGTATCAGCCAAGCATTCCAGAGATGCAGGTAAACAGGAGAAGACTGAAGAATGATCTTCTGTAGGGGATGCTTCACTTATGTCTTCTTCCTCCTCTTCCTCTGCTGAGAAGTCAGTGCAAGTGTCTACAGATTGCCATCCATATCACATCCATGTATGTTGTTGAATGTTCCATGGGAAGATGATAATCATATTGATGGTCATGGTAGAATCACCCATCAAATTCACAGCACAGAAAAGGGAGAGACAATATTATTAGACATTGACCACATTCCTCAATTTAGCTAAAAAATAAAACCATGTATATTTACTCAGTGATGATTATAATTTAGTAACACCGTGTTTGGGGAGGGCATGTGAGTGCATGTGTGCGCACATACATGCATATGTCTAGTAGATCCCGTTGGCTTTGAAAGAATAGCTTTAGGATTTCTACACTCCTAAATAAACATGTAATGAGCAATGAGGGGTACTGCTTGACTAGTGTAAGGGTTTCCTACTAAAGTGCCTCTGATTGGATCAGGTTGTACAAGTGATAAAACTGGGAAGTCTGACATCAATCAGTTTCACTGACTGATGGTAAATGTTTTCCTGAGTGTGCTTTTTATGATAAATTCTAATTATTTTTAAGACTTTAAAATGTTTAGTTATTGCTTTACTTAGGAAAAAATGACAGGGGGCTGGGAATGTGGCTCAGTGGTAGAGTGTTTGCCTTGCAAGCATGAGGCCCTGGGTTCGATTCCTCAGCACCACATAAGCACAAAAAGGTTGGAAGTAGCGCTGTGGCTCAAGTGGTAGGGCACTAGTCTTGAGCTGAAGAGCTGAGGGACAGTGCCCAGGCCAAGTTCAGGCCCCACGACCGACCAAAAAAAAAGAAAAGAAAAAAATGACAAACAAGAGTATCCATCTTTATCATGAGGATCAACTACTTAGAATACCTTACCTATGAAGTCAACAAGAATCCACTCATCATCTTCTTTCTCACTGAATTCTGGTTCTTGGTTGGAAGAAGTATTGACATCACCCACAAACATTTTGTTCAGTCTCTGGAACATTGTTAAGGCAAGACTGAGACTTTGGCTGGATATCTTTATAGCTGAGATTTCAAAATCCTGTCAGTTGACCTGATGGCATGGACAGGAGATTAAAGTGCACAGGGTAGTTATTCACTGTGAGATGCAAGAACAGTCATCCCTAAAATAAAACAGAAAAGAAACATTTCAACCTGGCATGTACTTATACATACATGTCACACACACACAGAGAAAGCACATATCCTAATCTACATTCTCCATTTCTTTTCTAACTACAGGAGTCAACAAGACATGCAACATCTTTTATTTACAAATTATCATGAACTAAGTACTCAAATGCAACCTGTAATTATCCTAAAGCTTGCTTGATGTGGTAGTACACCTGTAATCTCAGGATGCTCAAGCAGCGGGATTGTGAATTTGAGGCCACCCTGGGATACATATAAAACTTCAAATATGATGATGTTAGTAAATAAGAGTTTTTTTTTTACATCTGTGCTTTTATAAGAGATTAATTTGAATGCTGTATTTCAAACTACAGTACCCTTTTTCTATAAAGTAGAGTCACAAAGCTACACTTTAAGTGTCTTGCTATAGGATGTTCATCTGCCCAGAAGTCTTCACATAATCCTAGTAGTAGTGCCTAGCACCACCATCTTCTCTGGTTTTATTTTCCTTCTTTTTTTGTGGGGAGAGGGGCAACAGGGATTTGAACTTGGGGTTCTTCACTTGAAAGACAAGTGCTCTGAGCCATGCATTTGGTTTTTTATTATTTTTCTACCAGGGTCTCACTTTTCCCCCAGAGTTGGCCTGAATCAAGATTGTCTAGCTTATGCTTCTCCTGAGTAGCTGGGAAGGCAGGTACATACTCCTGTACCCAGGTTTTGAGATGATGTCTCACTTTTTGTTTGGGATATTTCCCAAGTTTCTAGGATTATGGTTATAAACCACTGAGCCTAGCTTGTTTTGTGGCTTATGTATATGACTAATTTCATTTGAAATGTATAAGCACAGCATACTTTGGTCTTCAAAACAATTCTTAGCACTGATGTGGAGAAATCTCCCTTTAGAAAACTGAGCCAAGGTAGCAACCAGAAGAGTGTAGTGGTTCAGCAGTGAGTAGTGGAGTCAGTCTGTCTTCTGGGGTTCAAATCCTGGTTCTTCACAGACTTAAGATTTAGGAAATACTTTGGCTTATACTGGTAAGGGTCCCTACCTCAAGGGATTCTGGTGAGTTCTAAATGAGGAACTCCTGCTTGTTTGATCTTACCACAGTGCCAGATTTATCCATTTCTGCCTGGCTACCTGACAGCATCTCAAACTGAACACCTACTAAGAACTTTGAATTTTTACCCATGAAAGTATTAATATACAATGCCCTCTAGCTTCTTCTCATTAAGCAGCAGAAACCCAAAGTTAAAGGTGAACACCTAGCAGTTACACTGACTGTTTTGCTACTCCTATTAGTCCCATGCTCCTTGCTTAGCCTCTCATTCAGACTGCCACCAAGTGCTGTAGCCTGTTGTCTCCCTGGGACTTTCTTGAAACCATCTCTTACAAGTATCCCTGATTCTAGTCTTGTTAAATGAGATAACAAGCAGTGCATGCTTCACAAGATAATTGACACAGAGTTCCTAGTCCAGGTCAAGTGTCATTCTACAAATACTGAGCGCTGATTATGAATCAGTTGGAGTGCTGAGCACAGTAGACAAAGCAGTGAACAAATCCCTCTAAAGTGAAACTACTTGGGGGGCAGTGAACACAGGGTAGAAAGGGTAATGAGCAGTACTCAGAACTTCCTGGGTATACCTCGAATGGCTGAAAAGATCAGGAATGGGGGAAGGGGAGATGGAACACTATGGAAACCTGCAGAAGATTGAGGATGTGTCTCAAGATACAGACAGGGAGGCACAAGAACAGACTAGTGCCAAGCAGGGACCGATCCTGTTAGGACCTTGTAAGGCAGAACTTAAAGTGAGAAAGCCAGACATGGTGGCATATGGAATTCCTACACTTGGAAAGCTGAGGTAAGAGAATTGTGATTAAAGACCAGCTTGGTACACAAAGCAAGACTTTTTTTTTTTTTAAAGGTTAAAAGGTGGGGCTGGGAAGGTGGCTCAGTGGTAGAGCGCTTGCATTGCATGCTCGAGGCCCTGGGTTCGATTCCTCAGCACCACATAAGCAAAAAGAAAAAAAGCCGGAAGTGGCACTGTGGCTCAAGTGGTAGAGTGCTAGCCTTGAGCTGAAGAGCTGAGGGACAGCACCCAGGCCCAGAGTTCAGGCCCCACGACCGGACCCAAAAAAAAAAAAAAAAAAAGGTTAAAAGGTGGTCTAGGGTAAGTTTCTGGTCTGGTCTGGTAATGATAGGACCATTTAGGGGACTAGGAATTCTGCAGAAGTATAGGTTGGATATTGCTGGCATGATGAACTTAGGAAATCTGTGGCTGGAGATGTCTAGTGGGAGACAAAGTATTTGGAGTTCAAGAGTGTGCGCTCGGGGGCACAGACTTGGGAGTTACCACATGAGGGTGATAGAAGCATCAGCCTTGAATCCCTAACTTCAGGCTTTTGACAATTCATCTTTTTATTGTTATTATAAGGGTGATTGTATAGAGGGGTTACAGTTACCTAAATCAGGTAATGAGTGCATTTCTTTTTGGACAATATCACCCCTTCCCTCACACTCTCCCAGTTTTTCCCTCCCATCTCCACCCACAACTTATATAGTTCATTTTCAAAATAGAGTACAATGAGTACCACTGTTGCATTTGTTCACTCTGTCTCTCCATTTCTGTGCCTCCCTTGACAGTTCACTTCCAAAATAATAATCTTCAGCTGTAAAAGTGGTTTGAGATGTCCAAATAATGCCTTGTGTGTAAACTGGACTGCCACATTACTAGAAGTTAAACATTTCAAATGACATTAGGACACTATGGTCCTAATTCATCATCTTTAGACATTAATTATTAAAAGTGGGTAAACAGGAAGTATCACTTGCATAACAAGTCTTTCTGAACACTCATAATAGTAACATGGTCAAATCATGAAGGTTGGAGCCCTACTACAGACCTGTGCCTTACTCTGTTAGTAAAGAACTCAAATTCAGCTCTGTTTCATACTGAAAAATGTTAGAAGTAGCCTGACACCAGTGGCTTGTGCCTGTAATCTAGCTCCTCAGGAGGCTGAGATCTGAGGATCGCAGTTCAAAGCCAGCCCAGGCAGGAAAGTCCGTGAGACTCTTACTTCCAGTAAACCACTCAGAAAACCAGAAGTGGCGTTATGACTCAAGTGGCGGAGCACTAGCCGTGAGCTGAAAAGCTGAGGGACAGCACCCCAGCCCAGAGTTCAAAAAAAAAAGACTGACAAAAAAAAAAAAAGTTAAAAGTGATGTGTGGCTTACCTGACATATTCTGCCATCATTTCACTAGGCTTTGTCACAAAGTCTGGTGTAAATGAAAGCTTTTGAGATATAAGCCAGGATGGAAAAAGACAAAATATTTTCCCATTTCTCTTAAATTGCAGGGTAGATGGCAGCCCTGAATGTGATTCTGTATCCACTGGACTGAGAGAAAAAGCCCCAATCTAGAAAACAGGACTGGAATCTAGCCCTCAAGACCTAAGCAGTTGGGGACAGTGGAAGATTTAAGAGTGGTAAAGAGGAGATAATACCCTGTGGGGGGACCCCTTGCTCATCCTGCCCATGCACCTTGCCCACCTGTGATGCTGTGTGAGGGCACCTGACCCAGGGCAAATCAGTGACAGCTGCTGAGTTCTCAAATGCAGACTGTACCTTGGGGCTACAGCTCTGACACCAGACAGGCTTCTCTAAAAGAAGTAAGGGACAGCACAAGAATATTCTTTCAGTTTCTTTTTTTGGGGGGGAGGGGAGGTGTCCAGTCGTGGGCCTGAACTCTGAGCCTGGGTGCTGTCCCTCAGCTCTTCAGCTCTAGGCTAGCGCTCTACCACTTGAGCCACAGCGCCACTTCTGGCTTTTTTCTTTTTGCTTATGTGGTGCTGAGGAATTGAACCCAGGGCCTTAAGCATGCAAGGCAAGCGCTCTACCACTGAGTCACCTTCCCAGCCCTCTTTCAAGTCAGAGGCTGCCTCCAAGTTTCTGGTGTATCAGGTGGGCATTGTACAAAAGCTGCACCAGTAAAGGGAGGAGGGGAAAGATCTCATTCTTCATCTCACCTAAGTTAATGCTGGTTTTCATACATGATACACCTGCTGGGCCCTAGGGAAGGACACAGAATGGAATCCTGGAGGAGGGAGTACCAGCAGGAGAATGTACTTGGTTTTCACACAATTATACCATTTAGCCCTTTTGTACCTCAGTCTGTTAGAAAAATCAGCAGACATGTAGAACTGCCTCACGGAGATCCCCACTCTAGCACAATGAATTTGGGGGGGGGGGCAGAGAGGGCAGTACTGGGGGTTTGAATTCAGGACCCTGCACTTACTAGGCATGCACTATACTACTTGAGCCACAATTCCAGCTCTTCTAGCACAATGAAGAAGTGGGGTTGGTTCCTAGCCTGCTTTTTGGAGGTGTCACTAAGGACAAGAAGTTGTTTCTGAACACACCCCTCTCCTGTGTACTACAACTGTTCAGTGGAGCAGCCACTAGGCACATTAGGTGAAAGAACATATGAAATGTGATTACTGTGATCAAAACACTGAAATCTTAATTTTCATCCATTTAAGTTGTCAAAATCTTTCAACCATGTCTAGAAAAATTACAGTTTGTGACTCCTTTTTCAGCTGCTAACTTCACAGCATCTAAATACAAATTGAGAATTTCTGATGAGACTTTTGGATCCAACTGTTGTTGTTATGTGTGGAAAATATATACACGTGTATATGAAAGACTCAGTAGTGAAAAAAGTAAAAATCTCATAATTTTTATAGCAATTACATGTTAATAAGTTTTGGGCATACCAGATTACACAAAACATAAATAAACCTCATCTTTTTTTTAAACATACCCACACAGTTCACTATATAATTGGACAGTGCTGTACTAGAAATTCCACTGATGACCCACAGGCTGTCCCTGTAGTAACTGCTCCTTTTAACCCTGGGGTGGACTGGGGCTACTGCTTTGTTTTGCTGAAAGGCAAAGCAGAGCCTCTGAATGCTGTCCTTCCCACACAATTTACAATGAATAAATGAATTCAATTTACAATGAATAAATGATAAAACAACGATGAAACTCAAATGAAGGTTCCAGAGAAAGTGTGAGTGCTCAGAAGACAAATGTACAGATATAGCCCTGAAATTTAGCAGAGATAGACAAGGAAGGCTAGAGAGGCAGCATTGCTGTTTTTCCAGTAACCTGGAAGCTGGAACCAGCTTCAGGCCAGCAGGATCCAGGTAGAGAAAAAAAACAACAAAACAGTATCTGGATCCAAGTAAGGGTTAAAGGCAGCTTTATCCCAGTCCTTGCTTGTCTTAAAATATGGCAACCTCAACACTTTTTTTTGGTACCTGTACTGGGGCTTAAACTCAGGGAACTCAAGCTCTTTCTTTAGCTTTCCCCTTCAAGGGTGAGACTCAAATTGTGTCGTAATTCCATTGCCTTGTGGTAGTCATTGTTAGTATACTGGTACGCTTTCTTCTAGGGTTCTTTCCTACACAAAATGTTTCTATCATAATCATAGCCTAGTAGATGGATAATTTTGTGTCTTTATTTATGATTGTTTTCATATTATTTATGAGTAGACATCTTTTGTGGGCAGAGAAAGTAGCCCAGTTTCATACTTAATGAGTAGCCTCGTTGAGAACTTTGGAGTTTCTTGTCAGTGTGTCTTACTTTCTTATTTTTGAGATAGATAACCTGGCAGCCTGGTATGATACCTCAAGCCTGGCTCTGGAGGTAGCCTGCTCTGTTGGAAATGTTAGCTCAGCTGCTGCAAAGTTGGGAGGATCCAGGATATTTAGTAACTTCACAGTGTTCCAGTTTTCTCATTCTTTTTTTTTTTTTTTTGGTCGGTCGTGGGGCTTGAACTCTGGGCCTGGGCGCTGTCCCTCAGCTCTTCAGCTGAAGGCGAGCGCTCTACCACTTGAGCTACAGGGCCACTTCCGGTTTTGTGGTGGTTTATTGGAGATAGGAGTCTCATGGTCTCTCCTGCCCGGGCTGGCTTTGAACCTCGATCCTCAGATCTCAGCCTCCTGAGTAGCTAGGATTACAGGCGTGAGCCACCAGCGCCCGGCTTAGTTTTCTCATTCTTAACAAGGGAATGTCAGTCATAATACCTTCTGCTTAGTGCCAATGTGTACCACTTGGAATACTGCCTAGTATATAACAGGCTTTCAGCAAATATTAACTCCAGGTTCATTCCAAACTAGTTATGAAATTGAGCATGTCATTCAGCTACTTTTATCTATAACTGTCTATGTCTACATAATAATTAAAGCTACAATTTGCTGAATGTTTATCATATGTGACAGGGAATTGAGGTACTTATTTGTCCTGTGATGAGGAAACTGAGGCTTAGAAATTAACTTGGCTTTAAAAGTGCCAGAGCAGGGCTGGGAATGTGGCTTAGTGGTAGAGTACTTGCTTAGCATGCATGAAGCCCTGGTTCTATTCCTGAGTACCACATAAACAGAAAGGCTAGAAGTGGCTCTGTGGCTCAAGTTGGTAGAGCTCTAGCCTTGAGCCAAAGAAGCTCAGGGACAGTGCCCAAGTCCTGAGTTTAAGCCCCAGGACTACGCGCCCCCCCACCCCCCCAAAAAAAATGCCAGACCAAGTCACAAGTGGAACAAGTACTAGAGTTCAGATTCCAGTTCTTTGCTTTCTTAACATGTGATCTCTCAGGCCAGCCTCAACTTTGGTTTTGTGAACTTCAGAGAATAGTTTTGGCTGCCAGTAGGCGGCTCCAAAAAGCAACATTTTAAAATTACAACAAAAACCACACTTAGATGAGTGCAGCTGTGCTCCTAGACAGTTTTAGAACATCAGGTGGCTCAACAAGACATCTTCACTTAAAAAGAGCTCCAAATTATTTTTGTAGTCATCCTCTCCCCCTACTTCGAAAAGATGATTTAAGTAATTTAAAATAAATTTGGAATAGCTGGAAAACCAAGCCAAGAAGCTTGTCTCTGCTTGTTCCACCTCTACGAAGTCTATTCAGCTAGTTTACAGGCTAGGGTCTGGATCCACCACTGCCTGCCCTAAAGGCTGAAGACAGTAGACAAAGACAGCAGTAAATAGTAATTCATCCTTGTTAATCTTGAAATTGGAAAGCAGGGCCATTTCCCAGAGAAATATATGAGAAAGCAGAGCAGAGAAGAAAAAATGATAGGATGAGAAAAACAAGAGACCTTGGGTGCAGAAATTAGTAGCTCCTGGTTCCAGGCAGGAACCTTTGAATATTAGGCTGCAGAATTATAGAGGCTGAGATTTAAACTCACAAAGCTTCCCACTGGTTTTCCACACATCTAACTTTAAATCGTATTTATTTAAATAATTACCATGCACTCGAATTCAGGATCTTTGGGTACTTGTCTCTTCAATGAAAACGTCACACTTCCTTTTTCTCAAAGCTACTTTACTTCAGGAAGGGCTATTTAAGGGAGGGAAGATGCTCAAGTCCTTAAGAGTTGCAAATAGACACTCAGCTGGAATTGGGAGACTACTCTGAAAATACAACAAAAGCCAAGAATTGCAAGTAAAATTCACCTGCAGTTTTGAAACAGTAAACACCATTTTTTAATTTGCTTTGTGGACTTGAATGACTCAATCTCTATGCCTCCATTTTCTCTAAATAAGATAGGCCTGCTTCGTTGGTGTGAAGACCAACAGGTCTCAAAGCGTTTGGCTCGTACAAAGCGCTCTCTAAGCGCCCGATTAGACCAATTCGGAGGGTAAAAGCGAAGCCCTTACAGCGCAAGCCCAGGGCTGTGTAAGGTCAGGTGGGGTCACGGGCCAGGCAGGCGGCACTTAGGCAGGGGTCGGTCTGCAGGTATCGACAGCACCCGCGGGCCTACGAGGGCTAGGTAAACAGAAGGGCAGGTGGCAGGGCCGGGCGCCTCGGGCCACGGGTCCCAGTGCGGCGCCCCGAGCGTCCGTCCCTGTCGGTGGCGGGGCGGATGGAGAGGCGCAACTACCGAAACGGACGCTCCGCCGCCAGGTCCCGGACAGACAGCCCCATCCAACCGCCAAGTGCGGACAGGAAGGAGTGAGGAGGAGGAAGGGAAGGGGGGACGTCCCGCCGTGGCCAAGAAAGCAGGCCTTGCTCTGGGAAGAAGGTGGAACCCCAACACCCAACCGCCGCCCCGCACGGGGTTCGGCCCGCTCCGCGCCCCAGCCTCGCTGCGCCGCCGGGCCGCGGGGGCGAGGGGACGGCCCGAGAGGTGTGCGGTCACGCGGTTCGGTTCCAGGCTCGGGACGGACCGCAGCGCGGCGGCCGCCCGCCCGCCCGCTCGCACTTACGTGGGCCGAGCCTCGGCAGGGATGAGCGTCCAGGAAGCGGTCGCCGGCGCGGCGGGGACCGGCGCGGCGCGGGGCCCCTGAGGTAGCTGCGGCAGGCCGGGCTGCGCCTCGCTTCGGGTCCCGGGACAGGGGGCGCGGGACCGGCTCCAGCCCTCGGTTCGCCGTCCCAGGTCGCCGCCACCGGCCCGTCCTGGTCCTTTTGTTGTTGTGTGGCGCTGAGAACAGCTGATGGGCCGCTCCGCCCGTCGTCCGGCCCGCCCTCCAGCCACCCCGCCCCGCCCGGGGGCCGCGCCAGGGCGGCCCCACCAATCGGTGGCGCGGATGCCCCGGGGCCGCCCTGCGAGAGGATGTCACTAACGCACGTGACCTGGCTCCCGGCCCGGCGACGCTTTTGAGTCAGAGACAAGCCCGGGCAACAAAGACGGGAGTCCCGAGCCAGCGCAGACGGGGCGCGCGGGCGGGAGGGCCGGGAGAGGCCCGGGCGTCCGCTAGGGTCTGGGCGCTCGGGCGACTTGGGAGAGAAATGGGGCCTCGAGACTGCCAGGAGTGGGAGAAGCGGGAGGAGGAGACAACTGGACCTTAGAGGTGTGGTGGACGAGGAACCAAGGGTTTGGGACACAAAGAACACATTTTGTTTTTCTTATGATGGAGATATTGTAGGATGATGGAAGCAAAATCTCCAGTTACCCCATTTTGGCCTATGTAAACAGTTGGTGTGCTGTTGAGGCCAAGGTCACTTCTGACTCTTCGTGGGAAGAAGTCAAGTACTTAGATAAAGGGGAGCCTGTATCCCCACTCAACTTTGTAACACAAGGAACCTGGCCCTCCCCTCCCCCCGTGGTAACTGGCGCTGGGAGCTGACTGAACTTGCCCCTCACATCCTGACTGAGCAGGGCAGAAGCCAGGCCCAAGAGACTGTCTATCCTAGCCTGAAGGTAGAGGTCAGGAGCTTTGAAGGTCCTTTGCTCCAGCCGGAAAGAAATTAAGAGTTATGCACTGCGTCTTCCCCAGGCTCTGCATCTAAGCTCTCATATAATCCAAGAAAGTTATGAACTCTTTTACATGCCTGCAAAATGTGGGCATTCACACGGGCCTGCCTGTACTCATACACCTATTTATAGTGAGAAGAAAATGAAACTGGTTTGGAATCCATTTCCAAGCGAAAGCACTATACACATATAGGTGGGTTAATTAGCAAAGATGGAGGAGTCATGTTGATCATCAGTTCTATGAATCCTGTTTGGATTGAGATGTACTCCTCTGGCCTAGATGAAGCATATACCGACTCCTGAAGAGGATGGTGTTACATTAGATTGTAACTGGAAACTCACAAGGACCCTCAATCCTGTGGTCAGTCCATTTTCAACAATACTGGTTTGAAAGAGTATGAATTAAAGTTGAGGACATTTAACTTTCAGGAATAATAATATATCGTGGTCATTGGACATTGCAAGTTACAAGGCTATAATTTGTGGGTTAGTACCACAGAATTGAACCTGATCTGGATTTTAAGTTTTGGTAGAACAGGTCTACCCTAATATTTTCTCTAAGGTACAAACCCATCTTCCCATTCATATACTAAGTTTAATAACAATGATAAAGATCTAGTTTTTTTTTTAAAGCAAGAAGACCTACCTTGTTCCAGCTTGATAAGGTTTTTTTACAGTAAAAGGCTGTATGTGAAATCCAAGAGATAGATTGTGGTTCAAAGCCAACTGGGGCAGGAAAGTCCATGAGACTTATATCTCCAATTTATCACTAAAAAGCTGGATGTGGAGATGTGGCTCAGGTGATAAAGTGATACCCAGGAGCATAAAAAGCTCAGGGACAGTACCCAAGTCCTGAATTCAAGCCCCAACTCTCTCTCTCTTCTGTGTACATTCTCTTTCTCTCTCTCTCTCTCTCTCTCTCTCTCTCTCTCACAAACACACAGTTCCAGCCTTGTGAAGTAATCAGGGATGAGCCATTCCCACTGAGCCTTGCCAAAATGGCAGACTCATGAACAAACATGATTATTGCTTCAAGGCACTACGTGTTCAAGGATTTTCTTATTTTTTGGTGTTGGAGATTGCACCCAGAGCCTTGTTTCTGCTAGGCAAATGCTTATCCCCAGCCCTCGGAGTAATTTTTAGAACAGCAGTAGATATCCAAAACACAGAGCTAAAAAATAGAAAGGCCCATTAGATAACTATCTCTAAATTCCAAAGAGTTTTTATGAAAAACAAATATATATAGCTTAGCCAGGAGTTGGTGACTTGCTCCTGTAATCCTAGCTACTCAGGAAGCTGAGATCTGAAGATTGTAATTCAAAGCCAGCCTGGGTAGGAAAGTCTGTGAGATTTATCTCTAACACATCACTCAGAAAAAGCCAGAATGGCAGTGTACCTCAAGTGGTAGAGCACTAGCCTTGAGCAAAAGAAGCTCAGGGACAGTGCCTAAGCCCTGAGTTTAAGCCCCAGGACTGACAAAAAATACAAAATAAAAATAAAAATTGGTAGCTTGGGGGTAGGGAATAGTGGCTCACACCTGTAGTCCTAGCTATTAAGGAGGCTGAGATCTAAGGTTCTCTGTTCCAAGCCAGCCCAAGCAGATAAATCCCTGAGATTCTTAGCTCCAATTTACCATCAAAAAGCCTGAACTAGAACTTGGCTCAAGTGGTAGAGTGCTAGCATTGGCTAAAAAAGCACTGGGACACTTCCCAGGACCTGAATTCAAGCCCCAGAATGGCACAAAAAAAGTATCAGGCTGGAGGAATAGCTCAGAGGTAGATGTTTGAAGACCTGGGTTCTATCCTCATTGTCACAAAATACATCTTATCTCAGGAGTCATTTTCTTTCTGTTTATTCTTGCTGATGTATAATCTTAACCACCTGGTACTTGTTTATCTTCATCATGTACCAAGAGATTGGGGGAGGGGGTAGTGGAAAGTCTAGAAGTCAGCTGCTATGAGGAAGGAGTATTTTATCACTGACATTGTTTGGAACTGTTGAGACATGGTAATAATAAAGAAAATTTTTAGTCAGTTTTATTATTGATTTAAAATTTTCTACAGACAAAAACAAAAGTTCCCTGCTTAATGCCTACACCTGGGATGGATTTCTCCCACAGTTTGGCTTCTCCATAAGCCACTGGTTTACATCCATACATGCAGTGAGACTCAGGAAAATGCCACGTACACAGCAGTGAGCTGTGTCTTTAAGAACAACCAAACTTTTCAAATCATACTAGTGCAAACCAGCCTCTTGTCGCTTGTCTGACAAAGACCTAGCCAGTTTCCTGGCTGGGCAGAGGTATGAATCTGACTATCCTTTAATTCATAGGATAATTCCCAGAGTGTTGCTATAGTACCCAGTTCCAGGCTGACCCCCTGCTGTGGGGCTGACCCTTTTCCCCATCTGTCACCCTACCAGTATCTGTTTTCCATGAAGCTCAATATATTCCCTTATCTACCCGAACAAAGGGGATTCAACCTCACATTTTGTTTGAAGGATTACAGGGTAGGACCATATTTAGTCAAATCCAGATACAATGCAGCTAATACTTCTGCCTCCTGCTCACCAAAGCAGACTATGGCCATCACCCTGTCAGTCTATAGAGGCTGATGAACCCCATAGAGACAACCTCCCAAGACAATGTAACAATTTGACATGCCTGAGAAAAAGCTGAGCCAAGTCCACTTGAGGCACCAGAGAAATTAAAAATAGGCTTTAATAATATCAAAAGGGCTAGAGCCAGTAATTAAAACAGAACCAGGAAGTAAAAGCTGAAAAATTTGAGTAACAAGCTCTTTCTCTTCTCCATTTAGTTGTTAAAAGGGTACAATAAGTGGCAAGACAGAAAATAAGAGGACAAATATGGCAAATGGATACCCTAAAGTTATATCTATTGCCCTGTGTATTGCCCAAACCTGGAAGTAATGATAAGAACCATCTACCATATTTGGGGAAATATATCTATCAACCCACTGTCTGTGCTCTTGACAAAGCAAAATGATTAAGGGTTGCTAGGTAATATGGTCAGGTGTCTAGAAAGGAATTTAACAGGAATCCCCCTATTTAGAGTCTTCTTCATTTCCTATGCATGTGAAGCAGATGTTTCTACTTCCTTTTCCTATTTCTCCCCACTTTATCCTGTTTTACTAAAGTAAATACTTGCTGAAACATCCACCTTATGAGATTCTCCTTTTTGTGACATGCACAAAATGCTTGTGGTATATCAAGTTTCTGTGAATTCTATGGAAGTTGGGAAGCTGAGGTGCTTCCTTGTCTTTTTCCATTTTTTCCTCTGGGTACTTGCATTTTACCTAAACAATTTTCAGTTTATAAATCAAGAAACCGGGTATGTTTGGCTTTGACCATGAACTAGGTTGTTACTAGGATCTGAGACAGAAAAATGGTTTTAGATAGCATTTAAGATCATGTGGAATTCTGGTGAAATATACTCTACAGGCTGGACCAGAAGAAAAGTCTAGAACGGAAGGAGGCATGAGATTCAAGAAGTTCCACTTTCTAAAATAAAAACTAAAAGCCAAATTCTATTGGGCTCCAATTACCACCTCAGGGAGAAGTTAGAAATTATTCTAGGGCCAAAAGATAATAGATTTTTAAGACCAAGTAACCTTTGTGACTTCTGTATCAAAGTTTTCAGGGTTTTGTGGTTTGTTGTTGTTGTTGTTGTGGGGGGGGGGTGTGGGGTGTGCGCTAAAGATTGAACCCAGGGCCTCAAACATACTGAACCTTGCGCCTCATTTGTTTTTTTTGTTTGTTTTTAACCCTGTTTCACAAGATAATAAAACCAGTACATTCAGGACACTGAGACAGGAAGATAAGTTTGAGGCCAGCTTGGTGTACATACCATGTCTACAGACATGGTCTACAGACCATGTCAAGTAAGAAAGGAAAGGAGTGAGGTAGAGAAGTAATGAAGAAAGGGAAAGAAGGGAAAAAAGAAAGAGGGAGGAGAAGAATGGCAGCTCTTTAAAATAAAAAGGATCTGTGTGCTGCCTGAATCACTAGAAAGGAGCTAGGAGATGTCCACACCTCAATCAGCAGCTGGTGTTAGGGAGAAAAGCTCTCAAGAGCAATGGAGCCCATCATGAGTTGTGATTGGCTAATGATAGCCCTGCAGGCCTTATGGTGCTTTCTACAGTTTATGGAAAAGTCCCAACTTTTAGTTTTTAGGCACATGCACAGATAAGAAGCCAAATATTAACAATCATATTA